CTAAGGCAAGAGATCCTCCAGCCTCAGCCTTCTGAGTAGCTGGGACTACAGGCATACCACATCTTTTTATGTATTGTGTTTTCTGCCCACTGCATCTGCTTCTCATTCTGTTTTCCTACAGCAATAACTTATCTTTTTATTCATCATCACCACCTCTTCTAAGATGCTGTGCCCAAATTCTCAGGTAAGAAGTCTACTCTGGGGGTGTTCCCAGGTCAGGACCTTGTATCTCATCCTATGAGGTTGTATACCAGGACATATATGTCTCCTCTCTAAGCCTCATGACTGTGCTCTTGGGACCAGGCCTGGGACAAAATGATGAGTGCTGGTCCTAGCATCAAGATGGTCTCCTGATGCCTGACCAAAGACAGTCAGATGCAGGAGCAAACAAGAGCAGGGAGGCTCTAGCGAGAGATCCCTGCTCCAGGGCCCAGCTGCAAAAGAGAACACCCCCATCTCTCCTGTACCATCCAGTGCTCTAGCCCAGGCTTGCTGTTCTTGGGTAGAGCCACCCATCACATGTCGGAGGCCTCTGCTGCTAGGATGATGTTACAGTCTATTTTGAGGGTCACACTGGAGCATCTGTCAGCATGGCCAGCCACACCCTCCATGTGTCATCACTAAGAGCCAGAGACACCCACAGGTCCAGGAAATTAAAGAAGTTATTCCCCTGCCGGGACCCTCAGCTTCAGAGCCTCCTTGACTTCCTACAAAGATCAGCCCAGATGCCTCCTATCTGCTGGCACCCCGGCAGGGCTCATATATGTCCTTACCCCACCAGACCTGCTCCTGGTGTTCTAAGCTCTGGTGACTCGGCAAATTGCAGCCAAAGCCATCAGTCTGCACCAAGCTCTTAGCTCCAACATAACTGCTCCTTCACAGCTCTCTCACACCTGTAAGGAGTGCCCCAAAAGTCCAGCGCCCCAACACAGAGCTAGTTACTTTTCAGACTCATAAGTCCAAAGGTCATCCCTGCTGGGAAACTCCCACTCATCCCTCACAAGTGTGCCCAGGCTCCTACTCCTCTTGCACAGATGCTTGGAACCCACTCTTTACTGAGCAGGCCACAGGCTCCTGAGGAAAAACAAAGTTGGCCCATACTGGCTTTACTTCTCTGTTTCTGGCATGGGGCCTGGCACACGGCACATACTCTATAAACCTGATAAATGAAACCTTCCTAGTGAGCTTTCTGTGTTGTTCTACAAAAGACATCGTCACAGTGGATAGTGAGATGCCTGGGAAAGGCTGAGGCAGGAGGATCACAAGTTTGAGGCTAAACTGGGAAATTCAATAAGATGTTATCTCAAAATAAAATTTAAAAAGGATTGTTCCTGCAATTCCAGGATATGGAAGGTTGAGGCAATGGGATCACTGCAAGTTCAAAGCCAGTCTGAACTACAATGAGAGACCCAGACTAGAAAAACAAAAACAAACATAGTGAGTTCAAGGTCAGCTTAAAATACTGTATATAGTGAGACTCTGAGGGAAAAAAAAGGTTTGGGATATAGTTCAGTTATAGTGTGCTTGTCTACCATGTATGAGAGTCTGACTTTAATCCTTCATACTGAGAAGAAAAAAAAAAAAGAACAGAAGAGACATTCTGACAAGAAAGGCATTTCTGGCCAAATGTGGTGGGACATGCCTGTAATCCCCGCACTGGGGAGTATGAGGCAGGAAGATTGCCTTGAATTTGAGGCCAGATTGAACTACACAGAGAGACCCTGACTCAAAAAGCCAAAAGATAAAAAAGGCATTTCTGGAGAACCCTGACACTAAAAGCTGGAATCATTAAATACCTGCTATAAAAGAGGTATACCCAAATCTACAGAAAAACAAGCTCAATGAACATTAAAGTGATCAAGCCCAGCACAGAGCATACTCCACTTCTCTAGCTCCATTTAATGCTGAGCACCTCTCAGCTCTGTCACCTTACACTTCAGCCTCCTAAGAATTAAACAGGCCGGGGCCAGGGATACAGCTCAGTGGTGTAAGTGGCTACCTGCAAGCGCAAGGTCTCAAGTTCAATCCCCAGTACCACAAAAAAAAAAAAAAAAAATCAGGACATTTCTTCACTCTAATCCAAGGAAGGAAGTGCAAGAGCAGCCCTGATAGGCCAAGGAGACAGAAACAGCATGGACACATGGATCTGGGATCAGGCTAATATATCTGACAACTTAGGCTACTCTACTGCACATCCTAAAGCCACAGCCAGTGAAGGCCACCTGAGATTTCAGGGATTCAGGGTTCGCCCACAAAACAGGTATATCCATCTTCAGTTTTGCTCCAGCCATTTCCTGGAGATGCTACAAGGCTCAAACTAAATTATCAGAAAGAAAAGTAAATAACTAATCACCACTTAGGTCATACACCAAGCCAGGATCAGAAATACACCTTCAACACTGATAGGAAAGAGGAAACAAGTTGGCGATAGCTGCTTGCTCTGTAACTGCTCTGGGACTCTTTAAAATCACATCTGGACCATACCAACATCTGGCATATCGCAGCCATGGAAAAACTTTTAGATTCCACAGTGGTCATGAATACACTTACCATGTAACAGTGATCAGATGAAGCAGGGCACTGTAGGCATACATGACTCGGAAGCTTTTTGAAAACTGAGGTTTACATGGGTTGAAGATGTAGTGCAGGGGCTGGTGAGATGGCTCAGTGGTCTAAAGCACCTGCCTAGAACAAGCTTAGCAAAGCACAGGGACTGTGGTTCAATCCCCCAGCACCACATGCCAGCCAGCCCCGCCCCCTGGTGGGCTGAGCTGGCCACACACACACACACACACACAAATAAATAAATAAAATTAAAAAAAAAAAAAAAAGATGTAGTGCAGTTTACCTTGCATGTATGAGTCCCCAGCATGGATGTCCAGCACAAGGGAAAAAAGGAAAGACAGACAGACAGACAGACAAACATACAAAGCGCACACCCATGATCTCAGTGTTCAGAAAAGTGAGGTAGGAAGATCACCAAGATAGGAATTTAAGGCCAGTCTGAACTAAAAAACCCTGTCTCAAAACAAAACCAAACCATAAACAAACAAAACCTGAAGCTTCTAGCTATATTTACCAAATGTAAAAACATAAGAAATAGAGTGAGGTGTAGTGGTGCAGGTCTGTAATACCTGAAGGGAAGGGGAGGGGGGGAGGGGAGGGGAGGGAGTAAGGCAAGCAGGCAGTTAAGCAGAAATGTTAAAAGCCAGTCAAAGGAATCCAGGTCTCTAAGATTAGTGTATGTGCTGCCAAAGCGAGCACAGGTCTCTAAATTTAAATACTTTTTGGGGCTGGGGAGATAGCTCAGTTGAATAAGTGCCTGCCTGGCAAGCACCAGGGCCTGAGTTCAATCCCCGGCTCCACAAAAAAAATAAAATAAATAAATAAATTTAAATACTTTTCTTCTGAAAAGTTGTTCTTGTCTCTTACCAGCTCCACTACAATACACAATATCTACAATACAATAAGGAGTACAGAGAAACTGCTCTACTCTCCTTTCTCTAAGTTTAGGAAATGTCCTTCATTTTCTTTGGCAATATTATGAGACTCCAGCATCAACAACATATCCTCATCAACACTATTTTCAAATTCTTTGTATCAAGAGACCAATTTCATTTTCATTCACACAAATTAAGGCATATTCAATAAATGTTCTATCATATGGTAGGAAAGGAAATTAGACTTTAAAGACCTTAATAAATGTTTCCTAGCCAGGCATGGTGTCTCACACCTGTAATCCCAGTACACAGAGGTCTGAGAGAGGAAGATAACTACATTTGAGGCCCGCCATGATTAGAATTTCAGAATCATCAAATTCCAGGGTTATAAGCAATTTGATTCAGAAATATTTCTTTAAAATTCACTCTGTTTACATCATATCTTTCACATTTCAATATTTGTCTACAATTTTTAATATGCTATATAATTATTGATTTTCAATAAAGTTAATGAGGAAAAAAAAAAAAAAGCAACTTGGATGCTGATCTAGACCCCTGCAGTGCAGATGAAGAGACTGAAGCCCAGGATATATCCAAGCCCATACAGCCCATGCAAGCAAGAGAATTAGAAATCTCTAAGAAAGCAGGCAAAGCTCTGCCTGTAGCAGTCCTGCCTTCAGCACAACCCTGTCTCAGACATGTCGCACTCATCACAAGGGGTTAGTCTTTAGAACAGAAGACTTATTCTAAATGCTCAGGAGCACACACACTTGGGGTTGGCCCAAAGGTCACTGGTAGAACTGGCAAACTTCCCGTGTCAGACCTAAGGTCTGACAAGGAAAGCTTTTCCAAGGCAGTTGCTATTATATTATTTCATAGCTTAAATAGACTTTTATTTAAACAAATTCCTTTAAAAAAGGAGACCAGAAGAAGAAAATGAAAAATATCCCCTCTGATGGCCTGTATCTGTTTTTATCACCCTAAAACAGGGAGTTTCCCTGATGCTGACTTTAATGAGGACCTTTCTAAAGCTGGCCCAACTGGTGTTCAAGTCCCTGAACTGAAAAACAAGTTTATGAGCACCAAGGTCACCTGATTCTGACCATGTGTATGCTGTTTACCCTAAGATGAGAGTGGTTACCACAGCTTTGATAAATGTTGCAAAGACTCTACTACCCCTTTGAAGTCTAATGGGGCCTCTACATGACTGAATGCCATAAAATAAGGGAATTTGAATGCAAAAGGAAGGAAGTCACAAATACCACACACTAGTTGGGGAAACCCCATTTTGGATGCTGAATTGTGAATGAAAACGTGTTACTTGTCTCCCTGGTCTGTAAAGTATGCAATTACATCATGACTAAGAAATATCCCCTGTTTTACCCACAACATGCCCACTTACTTAGACCTCATCATGCCCACAGTCAGGGACATCAGCATCCTATATACCCAAGTGCTAAAGCAACACAAATCAGTCACAAGTACCACCTAGGACACCTCAAGCTCAAACACAGATACAGGTCAGTGCTGGGGAAAAGAGGGTGGTATTAAAGTGCTTACCCATCTCTTCCTTTGCTGACAATCTTCACTTCAAAGTAATAAATACCACAGGCAGCAGGTATGGGGTGAGTGGCACGCACTGAGGCTGCATCTTTGTGATTTTTGCCATGACCTAATGGGATAAGGCAAGGTAGAAATTTCAGCAGAGGGAAATGCAAATCTAAACCTCACTGTTCTCTGCTCCACGGCAACTTCACCCATCTCTGGACAAAGGAAGCCCTTACACAGTCTGAGGAATAATCAGACAACTGAGTAAATAAACGTGGCATGCACCTTTGATTCACCTCCTCCCAGAGACTAGCAGCCCCGAGACATTGTCTTCCATAACAACAAAACTACTGGTAATGTGGGTGCATGAGAAAGATAGCCGAGTGCTGCTGATAGTCTCTCCAGAACCCAGGCAGACTGGAAGTCCACAAGTCATTCTCATCATCAGCAACTTTAGGACAGAACGCCAAGCCCATTCTTGGATGACTGGCAGGCAGATCAAGCCATGCACCTCTGGCTAATGGTGGGAGATGTTACCACCTCTTTTTTCAGTCACTCCTGAAACAAAGCAGTGGCCCAGCTAGAGTTGGGAGTCAGCCCAGGACACGCAGGGAGGCCCTAAAGTGGAAGGTCCAGTCCAGCACTGAGTCTGGACACCTGTTGCAGCTCTCTTGACGTCGGGTGTCTAAGGCAGAGCAAATCAAGCAGTCTACCCTCGGCCTGATCAACCCTACCACTCTGGACACTCCACAGGGACCAAGGCCTAATCTGGGGCACTCAGGCAAGGAAAGGAACGTGATGGTGTAGGAAAGAAGCAGCAGACCCGCTCTGCAGTCGCTCTGCACTAGTGCCCCGACAGTCAGACAGGACGATACCTTTGTAGTGGACGCGGAGGTTGCCCTGGGAGAGGCCGATGTAGTTGTACTTGTCCTTGGGGCTCCAGGAACGCGGCAGCGGCGTCTCGTGCTGGTTGACTGCGGGGTACAGGCGTTGCAAACGCTGGCTCAGCTCCTGCTCCCCGGGAGACGGCAACCCGCCCCCAGAGCCCCCGCCAGAGGAGTCCCCAGCCTGAGGGCTCCCAGCTCCCGGGTCCGCCGTCGCCGCCGCCATCTTGGAGGGAGCTGCTATTGTGTCACTGGGGGCGGGGAGGAAAGCGACCAGATCCGCCCCTCTTAGCCAATAGCCAGCGAGCCTCCCTGGGCCGCAGGGAAATCGAGTCCGAGTCCCGCTCCTCTCTTTGGACACTGCCACGCCTCGCCACATTTTTAACTGCATATCCCACAATGCAAAGCGCTCTGGAGGCGTGTCCGCGGGGGGGGGTCGGTGGAGATCTTCGGGAAATGTAGTATATACCGGCTCAGCCATAATCCTTTCTAACAGAGACTCTGGACACTGAAAACTACAATTCCCACCAGACAAGCAGATCTGGCATTTCAGCTCTTCTCCCACCACCCCCATTGCCTCGTTTTATCCGCAGCCTCACTTCTATACATGCTGTGATATCGGCTGTAGTAACTGGTTCTCAGGGTACTCCGCCTCCGGGTTCGAGGCCGCCTTTGCTACTTGACCTTTCTTCCAGCCCTTAGGCTCTGTGCTAGGGGTGTGGCAAACTTTGACTCCGCCCTCACCGCTGAGCCGCTTGGGCTTGGTCGCCATGGCGACGAGCTGTACACTACGGAGTTTCCCAGGAAGCTAAAGCAAACCTCCTGTTTTCTTGAGGGTCATGGCCTACCCAGAATCGCGGGACTACAGCGTCTCCAAATCGAGGTAGGCACTGGCCGGGCTGAGGGCATAGAGAATGAGTACTTTCAGACAGGGAGATGACATCACGTCCCGACCTCTGCCCCCTGTATTAGCTTCTGTCCTTTCATCTACGGTTCCAGCCTCACATAATCACTGTTGCAGAGACAAAATACACTTGTCAGTCCAGTGAAGACCTTACACGCTATCACCAAGAGAACAGGCGCACTTTATCATTAGCAGTCGCAGCCAGCTTGTATTGAACGTTAACACGCAAAATGCTTTATACATTTAACCCTCTCACAACTCTTTGAGGTAGTAATTTCACGTTTTACAAATGAAATTAGAAACCTTGGGCCGGGGAGATGGCTCAGTGGGGCCGGGGAGATAGCTCAGTGGAATAAGTGCTTCCCTGCAAACCCGAGGGCCTGAATTCAATCCCCTGTTCCACCAAAAAAGAAAAGAAAGAAAGTTACGAGATCAGGTATTTTACACATTCTTATAAGTGGTTGAGTCTGGACATGGTGGTGCACACCTATAATCCCAGCACTAGGGAAGCTCAGATTAGAGGATCACAATGAGTTTGAGGCTACAAAGTAAATTCAAAACAAGCCTGAACTGCATAGCAAGATCCTGCCTCAAAAAACAAACTAAATTTAAAAAAAAACTAAATTATATAAGCAGTAGAGTTAAGATTTTAATCCAGCTATGTCAGACTCCTGGCCTTTAGCCATTAACCACAGGGATAAACTGTTTCTTATCCATATGTTGGGATTATGACTAAGGTACTTGTCAAATTGTTGGGTGACCTTAGGCAGTCCAGGTACATAGCATGGCTTTAGTTTATCTCCTACCTGAATTCATGGATGCAGCCTCTAGGAACTATAAAATATGATGTGTTTCAACTTGATGGGTTAAGGCAAAAAAAAAAAGGCTATATTTCTAGTTTATCTCAAAAACAAAACAAAACAAAAAACCCTTACATTTCTAGACCTCAAAATCATGTTTGAGAATATTTAGGCACAATTATGGGAAACCAGCTCTAGGCCAATATGAACTGCATAGTGAGACCCTGTCTCAAAAAGAGAAAAAAAATAAAAAAAAAAAAAAAAAAGGAATTGTGGGAAGCCCTCACTACAGCTCTGGTATATAGTAGACATTTAGCAGGTGTTGAATGTAGTGCTTCTCCCTTCTCCTCTGCACATTTCCAATGCAGGAAAACTTGACCTCACCTAAACGCTAATCTAGGGGCTGGGGATTTAGCTCAGCAGTAGAATGCTTGCCTAGCAAGCTGGTCCTCAGCACCAGAAACAAAAATTAAACCTCAACTAAAAGATACTCCCCCCGCCCAAAAAAAAAAAAAAAAAAACCCTGTAATCTAGGTCTGCTGCTTTGACAGAGAAAGCCTACAAAAGTCCCCTAGAACATAAAATGCCAATTTATGTTATTCAAAGCTAAAATGAATCTAAAAGATCCAGGCTGCAGGCTTGAGAGAGTTGTTCCTAAGCACAGCCATAATCAACAATGAAAGGTGTATGAAACAGACTCAGAAAAGGAATCTCTAACCATTTTAGAACAAGAAACACAATGTAGGGGCCGGGGAGATGGCTCAGTGGAATAAGCGCTTCCCTGGCAAGCGCAAGGGCATGAGTTCAATCTCTGGTTCCGAAAAAAAAAAAAAAGAGAGAAACACAATGTAATTTCCAAGTGCTGAACTTGGTTGGAATATAAAACATCACTTACTCACCACCTTCTTTATTCACCAGTATATAGTGACATACAGTGGGCTAGAGTCACTGTTTCCCATAATGACAAATATAAGTATCCTGCAGAGTAGGGACAGCATGACAGGCCAGACGTTAGCACTGTAGAGCATGTCAGCAGAACCCTCCAAAAAAGAGCCTTAAATTGTCCATTTCCCTGGGGCAGATTTCTCCTCCTCTTGGGTTTTTCTCCTTTGCCCCTCACATCCTTGCATAATAGCTCAGTGGATAGACTCATACATTGAAGTTACTCAATACCAGAATATAAAGGCTGGCCAAATAGCTCAGCAGATTAAAGCACCTGCAAGCAGGTGCAGGGGTGAGGGTTCAAATCCCTGGCCTGCCATGCTGGCCCCACCACCCAGGGCACCCTGAGACAGCAATTGAGACTGGGCATGGTGGCTCACACCTGTAATGCCAGCTCTTGGAAGGCTGTAAACAGGCAGATCACTACAAGTTCGATCTACTAGTGAGACCTTGAACACCCTGTAGACCCTTCCCTAAAAAAAAATACCAAAAAAAAAACCCAACCCAGAATATATCCTTGAGAAGCCTGCTGTGTGCTATCAGTTAAATAACTGAATTTTTATCACCATCAAGGTGGAAACACAAATATTCTCATTTCCTTGTGGGGACTAGTATAAATTATTTAATAAAATTCTAAAGAAGATAGGAGGGGCTGGGGAGATGGCTCAGTAGAATAAAGCACTTGCCTGGCAAGCGCAAGGGCCTGAGTTTAAGCCCTGGTTCTGAAAAAAAAAGAAGAAGAAGAAGAAGGAGAAGGAGAAGGAGAAGGAGAAGGAGAAGGAGAAGGAGAAGAAGAAGGAGAAGAAGATAGGAGTAGGTATAGAAGGAGGAAAGAGACATGAAAATAATTAAGGTGTATTATGTATATGTATCAACTCCCTATGAAAACTGTGATCAATATGTACTTCAAGGGGCTGGTGAGATGGCTCAGTGGTCTAAAGCACCTACATAGAACAAGCTTAGCAAAGTAGAGGGACCGCGGTTCAATCCTCCAGCACCACATGCCAGCCAGCCCCGCCCCCTGGTGGGCTGAGCTGCCCCCCCACACACACGCACACACACAAATAAATAATAAATTTTTAAAAATATGTACTTCAATGTGCGGAGCCAGTGACGGAGTCTGGGCGTGGTGGCACATGCCTGTGATCCCAGCACTGGGGAGGCTGAAAACAGGAGGATCACTATGAGTTTGAGCTGTGTGGTGAGACCCTGTGTGTGTGTGTGTGTGTGTGTGTGTGTGTGTGTGTCTGTGTGTAGGAGCACACACACACACAAATATACTTCAAACATGTACTAATTTATATATTTTTTTGCTTTTTAAGTACTAAAGAAGACAAGTGTGGCAGTACATACCTACAATTCTAGCAGTCTGAAAGGCTTAGATAGGAAGATCCCAAATTTGAGCCCAGGCTGGATAATTTAGTTACAGCGATCCTTCTGCCTCAGCCTCCCAAATTCTGGGATTACAGACATGTGCCACCATGTCTGAACTCTGCTCTATTTTTTGTAAACCTTTCTTTTTTTTTTAACTAATGTCTATTTTATCATTCAAAACTGCTGGCCAGGGCCAGGGGTATAGCTCAGTTTGACAGTGCCCGCCTGGCCAGTGCAAGGTCCTGAGTTCAGTTCTCGGTACAAAAAAGCAAACTGCTGATTGATGGTGGTGCACATCTGCAATCCCAGAACTTGAGAGGCTGAGTCAGGAGGATTGTTGTGAGTTCAAGACCAGCCTGGGCTATAAAGTGAGCTCAAGGCCAGCCTGAACTACCTAGGGAGACCTTGTCTCAAAAAGACATAAATAAATAACATTCAAAACTAACAATATGGGCCAGGGTTATGGCTCAGCAGCACAGTGCCTGCCTGGCAAGGCAGACTTGAACTTGCTGGAATTATAAGTGTGTGCTGCCATACCAGGCCAGTCTCACTTTTATAGACAAAGACACTGAGGTTCAGAGAGGTTAAACAGCATGCCCAAAGCCACCAGCTAATGCGGAGTGAACACACAGGTCTGTCTGGCAGTATGAATTGCTAGAATCACTTCTTCCCTTTGTTCCACTTGGGCCTGCCTCCCAATGTGTAGCTCTCCTTATGGCCTCCGAATGCCTTCCTAGCTAGAACAAAGGTTGGCTCTCCCAGGAGGCTTATATGAGGGACCTCCTTAAAACCCACTTTTATTCCACCCTGCTGTCATAATTAACATCTGGGCAGCTCTTTGCAATTTACCAGTATTTTGCATATCTAACTCCTTTAGACTTATTACTGTGAGAGGCAAAGCAAGAATTGTCTTCTGTTTCTTTAAGAGAAAACTTGGCTGAAGAGGTTAAGTGCTAGCCCTGAGGCATCCTGTTTGAACCCCAGCTGTCAGTCTCTAGATCCTCTCAGCCATAAGTGGAGGATCCATACTCAGGCCAGCTCCCAGCCCCAACCCCTGTGCTTATTATTTTATAGCACCTGCCTTTGGTATTACATCCTTAGAGTGTTTGAGATTTTGGACAGGACATGAAACCATCATCATAGCCACAGTGAATGGAAGTTTAAGACCATAGGGCTGTCTGGGTTCATAGCAAGGTTATTCTGTTGAAGTTTGTAAGACAAGTGATAAGAAGGCCAATGAT